GAAACAAAATAATTTTGCGTGTTTTTGACACGGCCGATTTTAGAATTATGGAACGAAAAAGTCATTTTTTAATACAGTATTGACATTTAAAGTCTGCCATACTTTTTATAATTCAGTACTTAACAATATACTTGATTAAATATATAAATTTTGAAGGCACGAGAAGCAGCAACTTTTCTACAGAAATTCAAACCCATAATTTTTTATTGTATTCAAAACAGTATTGACTACTGAGAAATTCTCTTCTCAGTAGAAATCGTCTCTTCTAGTTTCAGTTTCTCCATTTATTCTGTTCAATAAATGATTATTTAGAAAAATCCACATTCTTCTGCACCGAAAGCAACGTTTTCGGTGATGGCATTAAAAACTTAATGCTTTTTCTACGAGAAAGTTCTTTTTCAAAATTCCGTTTCCTTAATTGCATAAAATGATTACGTCTCTCTTAAAAAAACAATTGCATTGTTTTAGTAAGTGTACAAAAATTAACTTTTACAGGCACCCAGGATTGAACTAGGAGTCTCTCAATCCGCAGTCGATTGCTCTAACCTTACTGAGCATACTAAATAAATAAATAAATTATATGCATATTTATATTATAGTAATACACTGTTATCTATAAAAAATAATTATAAAAACAAGTGTATCGTTTCCGCTTATAATTATAATACTGTTGTTGATCGAAGCGCTGAAAAATCTGTATATTCGTGACACTAGGCCACGTATTGATAGAAACGTGCGATTTCTTAACGAAGCCGTCCAAGTATGTTTTACAATGCGCAGTCGTGAGGTAGCGAACAAAGTAAGAGTTGAGTCCAAAGTGAATCATCGCGCAGCTTAGAACATTCGAGAAACTGCGCATATTAATACGCACAATTCATTGATTACCGTAAGCTACCTGGTGATTGTGAGACATTTTCACCTGTGAAAAACAAACGATTTCTTACAGTTGTCGCAACTTTGATAAATACACGTAAACCACTTTTAAACACTTAAGGATTTTCTCTGTTCGTTTGAAGGCATTTTTCATAAAACTCCGAGACTATTCTTAAAATATCTGTGATTATAATTGCTGTATGACGTAACAAATTATATTATTGGTTAATGAAAGTGTTTTATTCTCGAAGAATAAAAGAATTTCAAGTTGAAAATTAAAAAAATTGCAAATATTAACCGTTCTAATTAATGTGACAGAACTGTGAATAGTGCTAAAGTTTTTATTTCATTTATGTCTTTAATATACGGTTAAGTTTCATGAAATTTAGTTGCGTGATTATAAAAATTAATATATCTCATAAAAAATAAAATTTGTAATATATCAGGAATCTTTATTATTATTTGAATTATTCTGATGATATTCATACACTTTCATTCAACTTTATATGAGTACTGTTATCGTTATAATAAATTGGATACAGTGAGCGCGAGTCTTATTATGCTACGAAATACTGAAATTACAGGAAAAAATTGAAAGTAATTCAAATTTCCTTTTTAAAATAATCGACAGAAATTTAATTATTGCAATTGTACAATTCACTTGTTTTTCATAATGTTACACATGAATTTCTACAGTAATGGCATGCATTATAGAAAATTATCCTCTTTGGGAATATCCTGTTTTAAAGGAATTTATTATAGAATATACCCGTGTATAGTATTAGCAACGTTTTCAATGTATAGAACATATGCATTTTTAGATTCGTCAGTAATTCTTATTCCATAAATACAGCAAAACTTTTATGTAATTCGAAGAAGAACTGGTAAAACGCAACCAAGATTCATTTTGCTCTATAAACGTAAAACAAACTCAAAAAATTACATTACACATTGTTAAAACTACAGAAAAACTTTTGCAAGATTATCAATTCGCTTTCTTGTGCGGTACAAGATATTTTATATACGAATTATAAAAATGGCGTACAAATAAAATCAAATAAGTAAAATACATAAAGAACGTGCAAACCAACGTATCTGGTGAAGAATCGCATCGATATCCATTAATAATTAACCAATATCCGTAAGACGAGAGGAACACCCCGAACATCATTTGTAATATTTGTATAGATGTGATAAAAATAGCAACGTTGATGGAAATATTTACGTTCATGGATTTAATGGTAAAATACGTGTACATAAGAGAATGTACACTGGCATTGACGTAAAAAAACAGCACGCCTACACTCTGTTGTTTGTATATAATATACCACATAACGACTAAGGTAGTAGCGTGATGATACCAATGCAAAAACATTAACCTACGTTTTCTCAATACAATGAGCAAAGTATCGCCGAGTTCCCAAACTTTAGAGAATAAAAATAAAGTTATCCAAAATAGTATTTGAGGGCTGTTTAAGGAAAACGATAAATCGCAAGCCACTTGGTAGAAGGAATAATTCGACAATTGATAATAAAAAATTGGAAATAATCTTATCATCGTACAGGCGGAATATATGGCTAATATAGAATTCCAAACGATAGCGATTCTTCTGAGATTAAAGGATTTTCTGGCTTTCATGTACGTACGAAGCGAGTAGACGGTCACCAGGTAAGTCAGAGCTACGTGCACGGAGTAATACCAGTAACGAGTTAAGAACCTGGCGAGAAATTCCTTTCCGAAGAGTAATTCAAATTGGTAAGGCAGTGGTTTATCGCTGGATCTCATTTCGTATCGAATACGTCTGAAAAAATACGCACGCTTGGTTTAATTTTTATATTTAAAAATAAATTCTAATTATTTTTACATCGGTCGTATTCAAAGATTTATTTCTATTACCGTATTAAAACAATTCCTACTTGGTCAAACACAAAATATTACTCTCTTTAAGTACATAACGGCAACGATCACAAACACGCGGTTAAATAATGAAAATTCGCAGTCAATTTAATTTGTCCTACGATATTTTTTATATATGAGGATTTTAGACAATTTCTTTAATGCGGCGTAGTTTTTGTAGAAGAATTAAAATAAGCGCGACTCGAGGGTCGTTGGAAAAATCACGTACTTATCTCGATCACTCGGCAAATTCATTAACTGATTTAATAATTTCTCTTGGAGAATAAAGGGAGGGTCGATACGAGGAAAAGGTTGGGAACCCCCGAATTAAAATAATAAGTGAAATTAATTTATGGCGCTTTTACAAAATATCATATAAATATGAAAAAATAGGAAGAAAGCCGAAAGTTTTAGACTTACAACGATAACATTTTATAAATTATGCAAATTATATATGCCGCATATAGCGAGGCAATGGAACTCACCTTTTGCGCTTTCAAACTGTAAGAGGAATTACGTCCGTCGACGGTAACGTAAATGCTTATATTAAATCATTTCAATATATAAATATGTAATTTGGAAAATTGTCAGAAAATCCAGTGGTAGAATAAGCAATTTTAATACTTAAAGAAAAAAACAGAAATCTGATTTGCTGTTTAAGTAATATCTAAGAAATTGTTTCGATATAAGGAAAACTCGAAACATTTTTTATAATTCTCGTACAGAAAATTATCTATACTTACCTCGAATTTAACCTTCCATCGATGCAAAAATAAATAAATATATTAAATTCGACTTTATTATAAGATCCAAATAATAAAGAATATAAAATAAATTAAAAATAGTAAGCCAAGTAAAATGAAGGAAAAGACGCGAAAATAATTTGTACATGGTGCGTAATTTTTCTTTAATCGATTATCACCGAATTCGATAACACCAGAAGCTCCTCCACCAACGTGGTTTTCTTTAAGAGGGTCTGGTTTTACCGACCGGTTTAGTTCCCAGTTCCCCGTTCGTATAGCAGTAGATCGTAAAGCCGGGGAAAATTATAATATACTGGAATGGGATTGGTGGCTTCGGTACGAAAATCCACTGCCAGGAATAATAATTTTTCAATTATAAGAAAAAACGAAAAGCAATTTGTAAACACTGTCAATCGGATGGATTTGATTTAGGCTCATTTAGACGGACGGATCGGAGGTATTTCTGGTCAACAATTGCGGTAAGGGTGTCCGTTGACGAGCGGACGACGGCGGTTCTTTCTTTACTACCGTCTTTATCGACGTTTCAATTTATGTAAACTTGTTGTTTTAATACGCTAATTGATAAAATATACACGAGATAGAAATGGAACGTATCGGTGATCGTTTCGTCGACTTTACACCCCTTCTCCTCTCTTCGGCCATCCTCTCGAAATCTTTATTACTCTACCAATGATATATTACAGTTTCTACTACGTTATCCGCGTTAATAAATTAAATTTAATGTATACGGCGGGACAAGAAGACCGTGGCGTTTGGAGGTACCGTACGGGGAGCCAGCGAAACGTACCAGCGTTCGGTCGCGTGCGAATAGAGTCGTCCGCGTTACCCGATGGGTATTACCGTATTACCGAGTCTTTTATAATACGCGAGTTTCGAAATAAATATAACAAGACGCCTAAACTGTCCAAACTCGAACGAAACAAACGGACGTCCGCCGAAGTTCGACCTTTCTCCTGGCCGTCGTCCGAATTCGTCTCGGCGGCGAAACCCATCCGTACTGGCCACCAACGACCCACCCGCCTATTTATTTCGTAAAACCTTCCTTCTTAACGATTATTGCTGGAATTACGGGAATTCGGATTACAATAAAGAAAACGATGCGATTTTTTGAATATACCGGCTCGTCCTGTCGCGTTTGTAAAGTGGTAAAAGGAAGCGGATGGGAAACGTATTTTCGACCAAACTTTACGCCGCGCCTAAGCGAAATACGAAAGTAAACCGAGTTATATCGTTATTACTTTTCCGAATTTATTTAAAGAATAGAAAAGGATGTTTCGTATATTAATATTAATCTAAGAAGCAAACGCGATAATTAATAACAAAAATTAACCATTAGTTACGTTAAAAAAATGAACTAATCGCGCGTTTAATAGATGACGTCACGCCGTCCGGAGGCTTAACGTTGGCAACGGTGGCGCGGTAGACACGTAAGTTTCGATTTAATTCGAATCTTTAATTGCGAATTATATTTGAAATTTTTACGTGTAATTACTTGGCGTACAAACTAACCGAAACGTTTAACCGGGCAACTGGTAATAGACGGGGCGGCGGCCGAATAATCGTAACCTAGCGCCGCGTCCGAAAATCCAGACGGAGCTATTAAAACCGCGCGGTCCGTCCGCCATATTGTATTTCTCTGTCGGCTGCGTTACTGGCGACGAGTGGATGTTCCGTACCCATCGAACTTTACTCAACGAGTTAGATCAAAATCTTATACGCGATCGTAAATCAATTTTGGTGGTGAGATATAAAGCTCGGGTTATTTTATAAATCGACCAACACTCGAGACGGCCTTTTAAAATAATGAGTATAAACCGACGCTCGTACAGTTGTTGGCATCTCCTAATACAACTTTCGATTTGTAATATTTTGATATAATAATTAAACTAATTTTAAACTGCATTTTTAAACGTAACGTAATTATAAGAACATATTTTTGGCAAAATTCCTATAATTTAATATTTAGTTGGACTTGCTTTCGTTCGAATAGCGTCGAAGCACTATCGGGCGTAGTTTGATTCGATTTCTGCCATCGTTTCGCTTGGGTATTTCCTCCGGCATCCTTAATTGCCAGTGTACTCGATAATAATGCTTGTTTCGACCGTAAGCGCTGTACAAATATTTTCTCGGACTGAGATCGGGACTTCTAGAAAGCCAGTCTAACACTTTTTCTTTTGCTTTCATTAATAAACCGGATCTTAGTGATTTTGATGCGCGGAATGGTCGAAATATCTAATTACAGGTAACCCCCGTATAACACGGTAGTTACGTTCCAAAAAATTGCCGTGTTATGCGAATCCGTGTTATACGAAACAAAGAACTAATACGAAAAGGAGGGTTAGGTTACAAAAATTAAAAAACATGCTATTATATTTTCATAATTAATATAAATATCGCCATTAAAATTTTTTTAAGTGATACGTATTAATATAAATTAAACAATGTTTTCTTCGTCATCACTAAAAACACTATTAATTAACCGAGAGCGTTTTCTTTTTGGCAAGTTATCCTTATCCTCTGAGCATTTTTCTGCATTATCTTCAGATCCATGCTTTACCTTTTGCAAAATGTATGTAATTTTAGATTGCTTGCTTCTAGTTAAAAGGTCTTTATAAATTTCCTTATATGGTGCTAAGCACTTATGGAATAAGGGAAAAACATCTGGCACTACCAAAAGCAGAAGCGTCGCGATCTGGCAACATTGAAACAAGTTTCGAGAAGGACCACGTGTATCGACAGAAGGCGAGAAGAGAAAATTTACATACTTAAGTACTGTAAGGTCTCTTTTTATGCGGATTATTTTTATGCGATTTTGAAGTTGTGCGGTTTGTATTTCATCCAAAAATTTCTTGGACAAACATACATATAGGCTTGTTTAGGAAGCCGGCGTATAGACAGTCTCCAAAAATCGTGGAACTCTCAAAGCTCACTCCATTTGTTCCACTGACATATAACGTTTATGGATGTAAAGGACAGCTAGATCTACCTTAATCGCTGTAGTTCCTAGCAATTTTTAATATAAATGTAATTAAACATAAAAAATACTTAAAACTGAAAAAAAAACGAAAGAAATGCGTTAATTTTGAAGAAAAAGCTTCAAACTTTAACTTCCTTTGTCTCGCCCTTCTGTGAAATTTAACACCGATGAGTCGTTGTTTACACATCTGGATGACCTTGAACACAGCTGGAGTCGGATTTTCCGGGGCATTCTCGTAGACGTGCGGGAGGACAAGGGTTTAAAGTAGGGTGAACACTAGCCGGCCGTATATTTTAAAATATTTTTTGAAAATTTGGAGACTTAAAAAACATTCCAAAAATTCAAAAAAAAAAATTTTCAAAAATGAAGGACCGTGTTTTATGTAACGCTATATAACCTGCCCGAGTTAACTCGGGCGAGGAACTAAAGGTGTTTTAATTAACTCTTCACATCCAGATGTTAGTGATTTGTTTTTAGAGTGAGCTTTTGCAAGTCGGGGATTCCCCTTGTGTTACTTTTTCAATAAAATAAACTGAATTAAGTTTGAATACAAGTTTATTTTAAGCTTTTATATGAATTTCTTTCAGATATTCGAAGTAGTTTATTAAGCAGCCTATTTCTTTTAATTTCTGCAAACTTTTTATGCGGTTTTAAGTTAATTTTAACTCGTTGTTTTGGTTTTATGCGATTTTAGAAAATTACGGAACGTATCCATACTTTTTCAAGGCAAGTAAAGTCTTTTTTTATGCGAATTTTTTATATGCGCTTTTCTGTACAACGTATCCACCGCATAAAACGAGACCTTACAGTACTAATAGTTCACGAAAATTATTATTTTCGTGAACTATTATTACTTAAGTATGTAAAAATTTATTACATTTCCTGTTGTACGAGGGTTTTACCCAATTCTCGAACCGTGTTAGAGTGAATCCGTGCTATAGAAGTGCCGTGTTATGCGGGGGTTACCTGTACTTCCGCGAAATAAAGGTCCAAACGCGATTACATTCTTAACGCATCCCGATATTTCGAAGAATCGATTTTTTCTCGTTTTCCCGTTGAATCCAAAAGTATCCTCCCGATTACTCGTTCTAACTTCGGTTTCTCTTTTCGCCTCGTATCCGCAACCTTCCGGTCCGTCTAAATTCTACTTTTTTGCTCGGAAAACGTCGGACCGGACGGGTATCGCTTTCGTTTTTCGGTATTCGGTTTTACGTTGTTATTATCGCCAACGGATTTCGGCCAATTAGCGGCTACCCGCTAATTGTTGTTTTGTAAGGAAGAAAACCTTTCGTCTGTTTCTGTCGGTTAATGTTTTCGTGCCTCCATATTCCGTAATTTTTCTCGCTTCGTTTATACGTTGGTGGCGGCAGTTTTACAATGATCGTAGCTATTTGTCCGAAAGTCCGCTATTTCTTGGCACGGCGTTATTAGTGTTTAAAGCGTAAGCTGTTAAGATTTCAAAACTTTAAAACGATTGGCTCTTACAATACCGGGTGTGATGTAATAAGTTTCCGTTGGATCGTTGATTAATTAAAAATATATTTACATTCGAAGAGTATTATTACTGTAAACTATTGAAAATTAACTGCGATTCGAGCGTATCGACTGATTTTCTTTCCAGTTTATATCTTTACTCGCCATTCTTCTTTTCTTATCGGATCGTCCGAAAATTTATGAAATCTTTATCGTCGGCAACGGGGCCGGCATTTCGAAAAGCGATTAAACGCTACACGCGGCGCGATAGACGGTACTAGTGTCAAATCTCGGCACTAGTACCGTCTGGGCGGTTTCTCGGTGTCGACTCGAAATAAAAATGACAGCTTTCGATTTATTTGTTTCTTATTCGATATCAAAAAGAAGCCAATCGATTTAGTATTAAAGAGATTTTCGTTATTATAGCGTAAATATAAATTCGATAATTATGAAAATCTTACATCCAGTTGGAACTAGCGTTAAACAAATCGCTATTTGACTTTTACGCCAGGAAATATAAATATGTTATTTTTTCTTCCGTGTTGTTTACTCGGACCTCGCTTATTAATAAAACTTACCCCGGTGTAGTTTCTGGCAAATTAGCTAATCAAAAAGAACACGTCCGCGACGTAAATTCCGGGAATTCATTCTAAGACAGGATCGAGTATTAAGAATTATGAGAAAAGCCAATTTTAAAAGTCTCCCGGTAAAAAACTGTCGTAATAGGAAGTGGTGGCCGCCAATTGCCAGGAAATGTTTCGAGATAAAGAAAGTTTACGAAATTGGCGATAAATTACAGCAATTTTCTTTTCAGGTTTGCCAATCGCAGTTTCCAACAAAATATCGTCTCGGACAGCGTCGAAGAATTCATTGGGACGAAATGAAATATCTGTCGATATTTTTAAAATCGGCCGAAAATAATAAGCATCGTTTACGAGATAAATGTGAAAATTTGAGATGGTCGACGGAAGAAACCTGCCATATTTGCAAAAAGAGATTTAAGATTAAAAGCCAGTTCCGCTTGGAAATAACTCCGTATCTGTGTGTAAAATGCAGAACGACGTTTTGTGGAAAATGCCAACGGCCGCGCAATCAATACTGTATTTGTAATTTATGTCGTAAGCGGTTTACGAGTAAAAAAGAGTTGAAAGTGCATTATCTAGTGCATATAGGAGAAGAGTTTTTCGTCTGTTTTATCTGCGACAAAAAGTATTTGTCTTACGAGGAATTTCGGAATCATCAGAAAACTCATCTGCCTGTGCGGCCATTTTATTGTAACCTATGCGAACTAGGATTCCAATGTCGAGACGATGTAACTTTTCACAAAGGAAATATACATTTTAAGGAACGTAAATTGAATTAGTTAACCGTTTTTATTATTTTGCATTTTTAAATTAATTTCCAGAGAAATTAAAATTTCTAATTTAAACGTTGCTACGTTCGAGCGTCTTTCTTTTGTATTTTTATTTCGCAGTTTCTCTCGATTAGAGTTATTTAATTCTGGATTTATTCTTTGATTTTTTAAAGTAAAGACATAAAAAGACGTATCGCGCTTTATTCGCCGTGTGACAATTTTTTATATAACGTATTTAATGCTTAATACAAAATAACCGTGTTTGGCCGATTCGACAATATCTGGTTTCGTTTATTTGTTTACGGCAACGCGAGACTCGGGCCATCCAGGGCCCTTAGTCTCGAGTTTTTCGTGTTACAACTCCCAACGTGTTGAAGGTGTCACGTGGTACCATCTCACACTCTGACGTCAAATCGGTAGTCTCCAGTTATAACTCACATGCTTTCCCATCTCACCATGCGAGTTGCTACTCACGTTGAGTCGAGCATGTGAGATCGCTACACGAAAGTGAAAATGGCTGACAAATACGCTATTCTGATGGCAATCGAAGCGTTAGAAAGAGCCGAAAGAGTTGTTTAAGAAGTCAACGAATTTTTCGAACACGAGTAGATGCCATTTCTTTTTATGTCAAGTCATCACTAATAAAAAATTTTAATTCATAATTGATAAAATTATATAGCAAATTTTTCCAAAAATAAAAAGTATCTTATTCATCGACAAAAAGAATTATAATGATAGTAAATTATATGTATAAATTATTAAGAGCATAGACACTATATTAAGATTATTTATTAATCATTAGTGTTAAGTTCTGATTAATAAATAATCTTAATAAACAAAACAATTTAATACGAGATCAAGGAAGAAAACTATATGAAAAAAGGATTAAATTAAAATACTTTTTCCATTACACGGCGGATTTTTTAGCTCCAATACATAATTAATTTTTCAACTAATTCTCTCCACAAATCAAATTGTCTTTTTCTTGTAAATTCGTTGTCGAATTTTATATTGTTCGTTTTCTTATTATTTTCTATATATGTTACTAATACTTCTTTTTGTTCTTCGTTTCTTTTTTAAAATAAAATATTGGAGGTTTCCATTTTGCTATAGGACAAAACTTTTAACTATAACACGTGTAAACTAATTCACGTTGATTTGTTTACAACTTGTTACAGTAAAGTTGATTGGTCGAATCAGTATAGTCGCAAACCCAGATGCATTGTAAATAATCCCATCATGCTTAACGATACACGTAAACAAGTGAATATGACCTACTTCCGCTCGCCTTTCGAGCTCGCTCGATGGGTCTAACTCGAGACTACCGATTATGTGAGTCACAGTAACACGAGTGAGTTCGATGACGTCAATTCGAGTACAACACGAAAAACTCGAGATTAAGGGCCCAGGGGATTACTCCCGTCAATGCTGCCAAACTATTGATATCGCGGTATAGATTAAACGAAGATATATTTTCTCCGATACTTTCGAGAAATTCTACGCGTTCATTTTCATCTTCTGACGAACTGGCGAATTTTCGTTGTGATGGGATTCCCAATCGATATTCGACACAATTGATGATATCGTTCATTTTGTCATCCCGCCATATCGTTTTAAAAATGCACTAACTGGCTATAACCGACGACGTCAGTCACCACTACCGCGGCGTTACCGGTTAGAATTTCCAAACGCACCCGAGGTGTTACGAATGTGAAGAAAACCCCTACGTAGCCGGTACGTTGGCCAGGCGCAAACCCACGACCAACTACCAGTCTTCGGTGGTTCTATCCACTTTGCCATTGGTGGGCTTCGACCACACGAATAAAATAGTTTCCAAGTATTAATTATGAACCTCGATTTTAAATACGAATGTAAAAAAAATAATAATTAATTAGTTTCGGTGTTTAAGTAGCGATCCTCAATCGATCGACAAACCGGTTTCAATATTCTACAATCGCCATTATATGGCGGGTAGCGATCGATTAGGGCGATAACCCACTGCTCTGGGAGACCGGGAAACGAATCCGAGCGGATTGATAACCGAAAGAATTTTTCGAGGTGGTTCCTGGGAGTGCCGACCAGCCAGGATGGGGCGGGGCGGCATACCCGGGAACCACATAAAAAGGCCGCCCGTTTTAGTGCCCACGGGGCGGAAAGATTGAGGGTAAAACAACTATCGCTATGATAATTTTGGTATTTGAATTTAGATCCCTGCAGATCGGGGTCACCAAACTTTTTTTAACGGCGAGCCACGTAACAGAGAATGAAGAGCGCGATCCGCATAATCATTTTGTTCGATACAGAGCAAATAAAGACAGCTAATTTATTTATTTATTTATTCAATACACAAACACCGTGGCTGCAGCCAGCCGGTAATCGGTTTTGTTAGAAATTTCATGGCGGATACAGTACTTACACAAAAGCGCTCCGCTATCCAATGTGACAAAAAGTCGCCGAATTGTTTATTTCTCTGTTTTCTTAAAAATTGTATTACTGTCAGATTTTTGCATCTGACAGTAATCAGTAAATGATATTAGACAATTTTGGCACTTATACTTATTTTAATTTTTTCTACATAGCGAGTTAATGATATTTCCATATAAATAATTATATTTTAGCTCATTTGTGGCACATTGCGGAAGATCCGGTCGAACTGACCTCGCCAGCCGTAGTTTGGTGACCCCCGCTCTAGATCGAAGGTAGGATGACACCTTAACGCAGTGATTCTTAATTTTTTCCCCTTAAAACCCACACCACGAAGAACCGCGGGTCACCGTTTGAGAAACGTGGCCTTAAAGTGCAATCATTTTGTCTTAATTGAGATTTCCTGTATCGTATTTCTTATTTCCCTCCATGTTTTCCATATTAAGACGGATTGTAACCTCTGGTTACGCGCGTTGTCTCCAGCATTTGGAATTAAAACTTTAATTTAACGCTTTTCCTGCGAGAAAATCCTTTTCCGGAAATCTCGAAAACGAAGGTAGATAGAATCAAACGGTTTTTTGTAATAGGATCCTATTTAACTCTATTAATTAACATACGGTTCAGAATTTTGAATAAAACAAAGAATTATTTTAAATTGATGGCTTCGATCGGTTTGCTGGAGACGGATATTTAGACTTTAAATATATATCGTGCGCCGCCATTATTATGGTCCGGAATAGAAATCATTTTCATTTCAAAAACTATAAAAACAGGAAAGTATTTAGTAAATATCTAATTACTGTCGTAATATATGTGCGACAATCTCTTAAATCAAAAATCTTCGGAGAGAGAAAGAAATAATGTGGGAACTTCCGGTTTGCTGGAGTGTGAATTTAGACTGGCGTGATTGGCAGAATATAGATCACGCGCCATACCGCGCACTTTTCTCATTTTCTTTACGTATTCTTATATATATTGCGTATAGATACTGATGACTACTGGGAGAATATATTAATAGTTTTTAGAAGACTCGTGACACGTAGCGCCGGAACCGCGACACGCTTTACAAGTTAAAAGCGAATGTGTCGTTTGTAGCCAGTGTTGCCACGCCGATTTGCTTGCCATCGGTAGATTCATTAGGCAATTTTCGGTAGATTTCGGTAAATCGATTTTTTGTGGCAAAAAGGAGGTTGCGCATAAACAATAACATTCTTTTTCGTCATTTATTTTATTATACACTATAAAACAATAAAAAACAAAAAACTAACACAACACTTAGGTAAAAAAATGATAATTTACTAATTAAGTAGGTACATTTTGTTTTATTTTTCTAACAAAATACAGTATTACCTTTTATTTTTCGGATATTAATAATAATTATTATTCAATATATTCCGTTTGTACGTTCTTTAACACTCTGTTTGTTATTTTTGAAATTAAATTATTTTTTACAGGAAAATTGTAACAGTAATTTTTATCCAATTAATTGTTTAGTAAGAAGTAAGCCAGTGACTGTTTCAGAGCTCAGTTTATTTCCGTGTTTCGTGTTTAACAGATTTATTTACGAAAATATTCTTTCTATATTAGCTGAAGAATGGGGCAGACACAAGATACTCTCAACAAAACGAGACAGAATCTTTGCAATAAAGTCTTTTACAATATATAAGAAATAAATGTACAAAAAAATGTTATATTGAGAATTTTTAGATGCATTGAAAATAAAAATTTCTTTCTTGAATAATCGTAAACTTTTCGGTAGATTTGGTGCTTCAATCGGTAGATCGGTAGATCGGTCCCAAAATCGGTAGATCTACCGAAAATTCGGTAGACGTGGCAACATTGTTTATAGCGGAAGTTGAAATGACTCAAAAACTGATCGATTTTCGTTACCATTCATAGTTCAAATTCCATTTTCTTTGTTTCGTATTTATTTGTTGCGGCTAGTGCCATTCGTTCACGATTTTACAATTAAGTAAACTTTGTTCTTACATTCGGAGCTGTCCAGAAGGCCGAGTTGGGTATTTTTCCTCTGACGACTAGTGATTCCTACCTCTATAAAATTAACATAAAGGGAAAAGGGCCCGCTGTACCCGGCCCCGTACAAGCTCCCGAGGGACTGTTAATTAAAGATATAAGGTTAGTTAAAAGGTCTCGAATTAGATTACGAACCTTTCTAACGGCGATTATAATTTCCTCAATTAAGACACTGTTTTATTTTACATTATTTTATTTGTTTTCTGTCCATTCGTTGTCTTAAGAAAACAAAAATTACTTATCATTAAATAAAGAAACGGCTGATAACTTACGTGTTCGCTTCTGGTGTCACGTTCTCTTCTCTGTCTTTCCTTAATCTCGAGAACGGAATTAGATGGATGAAAGGCGAGACCGGATACAGAAAGATGGTAAAAAGTGTACAGGAAAAGTATGATGTACAGTACGAGAGCGAGACACTGCTAATTTGAGGCGGAGAGCGTAATCTTAAATTAAATAAATGTGATTAAAAATTGCAGCCCAGCATTGTGACCGCGCTCGTTTCGTATTAATTTCTTTCAGATCGGCGAATAATGTAATTAATAATTTCGTTTAGAATTAATTATTGGTTATAAAGTAAACTTGTTTTGTAGCATTTTCATTGGAGAAACGCGTGATGGGTTACGCAGAAACGAGATAGAAACTGCGTACGTAATCCCTATTTCCAATCAATAATATATTAAGAAAATACGCAACCGCGTGACCACTAATCGTGATTTTCCGCAATGCCCGTGTCCCGACGAAGACGAAATTTTTAAATTTCATTAAAGATTGCAGTTTGTAGGTTGTGTCAATCGACTTACGATTGCTATAATTAATTAATCGATTTTTCTTATTTTAGATTTACATCAGTTTTAAATCCTTTCTAATCACGGTTTTAGTTGTCTACACCGCGGAGTTCAGTTTCGGTTTTCTTAGAAAATACCCAGTTATTCGTCACGTTACTGAATGATATCGCCGATAATTTAATTCCTGTTCGTAACAATATTTTAATCGTGGGAAAATGCGGTACAAGTCGGTGGAACAAAGTAGAGTGGATCGGGAAAGGTTCTTACGGTTTCACGGGTGTGCAGGTTCTTTGAACTGTTTGTGTGCCGAAAAAAGCGGAAGTGACTAACCTTTAATTAACGCGTGTTCTAAAACCAGTGATTTCGAAGGAAAAGTAAAGCTGTTAAACGTACTGTACTTTCGGGATACCTTGCAGAATTGCATCTGACATTTCCATCCAAAGGAATCTTCCTCCGATTCCCTATAGGACTCGTATAGTTCTCTTCCTCGCAATATTCACATTCGTGTCGTTTATCATCAATCGAGCCGTCAAAATGTATCTCGTTTAAGATGGCGTAATGTTAACCGTCTTAAGCCAATCAAATTACGGATCTAAAATTAAGAAAATTATCAAAATCTTTAGGATTTGGGTGCAAAGTTCGTAAATGAAAAATTGCCGATAATATTTACTTTTTATCGTAATAAAACAATTCGTACGACCATTACGAAGCAAAAGTGTGAGAAGTAGTCACATGTTCTACAATAATCGTGCGAATTGCCTCGTTTAGTCACACGTAACTAGCGCACGTGTTAGTCTGTAACGGCCAGTATGAATCAGCCTAAACAAACAAGACATTGTACAGTAAAAGAGTATAAATTAATAACCTCGGCACGCGTTTAGATATTAGAAGCGAGAAAGCGAGAAGACATTTTCGTAAATCGATTTCGACAGCAGCGTGGTAAGTAGATTTACTCGTATTAATATATTGTACCATTAACGAAATAAGTTCATTTCTGAATTCCACCAGTCTTACGCTATAATATTTTTCTAGGGTGGTAAAATATAAATAATTCATTACTGGTCTTTTAATTTTTTGCTTAAATATAATTTTCAAAATTTTTGTATAAAACATATGGTAAGGCAAGGTCCAGACGAGAAATCCTTAGACCCGGAAAACACTCGAGCTCGATGCTATTTTGGCTAATAAAAATATAAGTTCTTTAAGACCGCTTTTCATTAATCAAGAAACACGCTACGTATTTCATTTGTTAAGAAATGTCAAAAAAGGGCCCGTACGAACGGTGGGTGGCCTCGGGTATATTTTTTATAAGGTAATCTATGAATATAATAAGAGAATTTTTCTTAAAATTCTTTCAAAATCACAGAGTAATTGATAAAAAAAATAAAACTTTTGGGGTAAAAAGTAGATCCGTATTACTTTTCCGGCTGTAGAGAAAGTACGGTAGTCGGTCAAATTTTGACCCATTTCTCGACGTTTCGACCGACCGGGAACCCAAAAACATAAGAATTTTGTGTACTTTTATGCGCGTTGGCGTCTATTTTGCATTATATCTCGGGCTAGATGATCACAAAATTTCCAAATTCGGCCAGCTATCTATTTTCTATGTATAGGGAGTTGACGCTATTAAATTTTGGTGGTCAAAGGTGGAGCTCGAGGGATGATCGACCGTCGGACTAAATGAAAGTTTTACTCGTTATTAGCATTTACAATTTCACTCCTGTCCAAAATCGAGGCTTGCCATTTTGTAATAATTAATAATAAAATTTCTCAACGGATGGCACTGTACGTAACTTTAAATTGCCAGTGCCAGGAAATTGGCCAAGATCCCTCGCTAACTTTTTCCTTTTCTCTGTGTGATAACCAGGGCTGTGGAGTCGGAGTCGTCAAAAAATCCGCCGACTCCCACTCCTTTTTCTTACCAACTTGTTACGTATATAAAACGGAAAAGTATCGGAAAAGGGACTTTGAAATTTGACCCTTCGAGTCTTTTTTGCAAATCTATACGTTTGGAGACCTCCCGAACCCCTCAGAAAAGTCAATAAAAAGGGAAAAATTCGCGCGCACGTGTGTGTTGGCGTCTGATTTGTTTAATAATCTTTATTTTCTGTTTTGAGATATTAAACGATATCTCAGAATGGGTAAAGTTTAGGAAACGAAACGTGGCACCGTGGCTGGCGTATAAAGGGGCATTAATATTGTTAAATTTTGGTTCTTAATTAAAGGTCGACGGGGTGAAGACATATAAGGGGTCGCGTGTCATATCTCTTAATGAATATTTCACTCGTTATTAGCGTTCGAAATTAAAAATAAAATAAAATAAAACTCGTCTGTACCCTCAAAGTAAGCTTTTTTTTGCCGTTTTATAATAGTACGGTAAAACCCGTTAAGACGTTCTCGCCTAAGATGTTAGAATGTATATGGGAACACGATTTAATTCGACCACTTTGACGCTTAATAACTAACTCCTGCGTCCTCATCCGACTCGATTCCCACCACTCCGACCGCAGAAATGATTAGGCTTCAAACGGGGTGAACAAAATCGTGCCCCCCACAGTCACACATAGAAAAAACCTCGAATCTTTCGCGTATCTCGAAATTTCGAGGTGTCCCGAGTCCAAAAATGTAAAAATTTGGGAGGGGTCATTTTTTGACCCAGCGCTACACTTTTCGTCTGTTATATGTAACAGCCGGAAAAGTAAAAATTATCGAATACATATTTATATATTACTTAGAGGAGTCTTTTAGCTTCGAAATTAAGTTTCTACGTTCTATCTTTATTAGAACTGTACCGAATCTTTTATTCCGAGGTGCACGCGATGACATGAGACTTTCCGGGTCTCTTTCGGTAACACGTCGGTCCCCGGTCGGAGTCGGTAGATTTTTACGCGACTCCACACCCGTGACGATAACGCAGTTGGTCCTTAATATTTATTTTTAACGCACTTATTAACGTCCAGTAAATTCTACTTAAAATTGCCGCTTTACAGAGCAGAAATTTTGCCGTTTTTTACTTTTACGTTAGTTTTAATGTCATCTGGAAGAAAGTTTTAAAAGCAAAATACAACTTTATTTAGAAGAAAACATGGAGGAATTGTATTTAGAAAGCGTTTAAAACGTCATTTGAATTTTTCACCAGAAATTTACTAAGGCGAAACGTGACTTTTTCGCAGGTAACTTACTCGTAATCTATAAATATAAACTACGATAATGTACTATCGAATGTAAAAACATATGTTTTTAATAAGGAATGCTTACGAAAAGTAAGTTTAGATTTGATATAGTTTGCGGGATGAATCGTTTAAGTGCTTAAATGACGTCATCGGCATGGAAGTTTATTTAGTTATGTCGTAAATTTATAATGTGTTGACTTAATGATTTTCTTAAATATATTTCTTACAGATGAATGTATTTGCCTTCATATTTCTTTCGGTCGTAGTCGCTATTCGATCGAAAGATTTTAATCCTCGACTCGATGGCCATTGGCAAACTTTTAAGGTACGAATGTATTATATTTAAAATATAAGACAATTAAAAAATGAAATAACCATCTACTTCACAGAGAAGGTTTAACAAATACTACGGGGAGAACGAAGAAATTGCCAGGAGATTCGTCTGGGAAGAAAATGTCGATTACATTATCAAGCATAATCTAAATCGCTACTTGGGACTGCATTCTTATACGCTTGGACTGAACGAATATAGTGATATGGTACGATGATTTTTATTGGCAGTACGGCCGACTCTCGCTTAACGTCGTCCGTAGGTTATCCACGCCACCCTATTAAGTATTTTTGTTACATACGCGTAATTCAAATTAAAATCAATTTGAATATAATTCTGTCCAATAGTCAAAAATTAAATATAAGTAGTTCGTAATTCATTTATAGAAGGAAAAATTTTATCCAGCGTTTAAATCGTTATTAACTGTTTCGATTTTGATTATTATTTAAATAATAATCGAAAATATTTTGTTCCGGCTACGCGCTTTCCCGTAAATCGTCGCTAGGCCCTATATTTATTTTTCAATTTTTATAATCTACGTAAACCAACTAAAATGTACGGTAAGTTTGGCAAGTCCGTATGCCCTTATCGTAAACCTTTACGATATCCTCGGTACTGTCTATATTCTTATAAACCTTTAACGCTTAGAGGGGACCTTTAGCGGCGGCGCCCGCAAACTACACAAAAGGAGCGCGAGCTATAAGCTATAAACATATATATAAAGCATTTATTTATATTTTTATATATACACGCATATACGAGTATCCCTCGATTAACGCAGTTAGTTAATCCCCGCGTTAATCAAACACGGTGGTACCTCGGTACTCGACCGAAAAATCACCATCCGCAACAACAAATTTTCCATTAATAACAAATATTTTTATTTCTATTTTGACGTCGGTAAAAAGTTTTCTGGGATAAAAGTGAGTAACTAATTGGCAAATAAAATGAAACCGTAGAGCTCCACTGGGGATTAACAAAAGGGCGAGTCGACGACTAAGAGGGCAGTCCCTTACCCTTACGCCCCGTGACGGGCGCCTCTGACCCTTAAAGTTAAAATGACAGACGAGAGTTCTTTTTCTTCCGAGGAAGCTAGTCCCAATGCTCTTACAAAAATGCCACGAAGGATTTAGAGGTTCCAGTTAATTTACTGTTAAAGAAGTTCAAACGGGACACGGGCATACTCCACTAGGAGCTTGGAGACAAATCTATATATATATAAATGAATATATGTCTGTGTGTCTGTCCTTCGTGCATTACCACACCGTTTATCCGATTGCCGCGAAACTTTGGGAAGTTGTTTAATATACTCCCGCGAAGGTTTCTGGCATAGTACATTTATCCTACGATAGATGGCGCGCGTTTATACGAGCGTATCACCGCGTGTTCGATCGATTTCAAATTGCGAAGACCATTTCCCCCTTCCAAAAAATATCTCTATATATACATTTGTTATTTACGATATTTGTAATAATTTTTGTTTATTCATTTTATTTCAACTTTTTTTGCTAATTACGTATTCGCTCGAACTTCGTTAAAACCTTAACTGTACCCCGAACAACTACCGAAGTTGTAGGATGAAATTCGATTTTTTTTTTACCGATCTTGGAATCCCCTTTTCCAAATTTTAATATCGACTCGAAATAATTTAAAAAGACAAATTACAATAAAAGGTTTATTATCCGACTATCAGAAATTTCACAACATTCCAAGGAAGAGAGGAAGGAGCAATTAAATAATTAAAATTATAAAGGATTAAAAATATATATATAAAAATGGGGAATATCGCGCTTCTGACAATCGCCGCCAGTGTGTGGGCCAAATTTGGAGAATCCGCGCTTCTCGCGCGGACAACTGTATATGGCCGGCTCACGTGACGGAAAACCTTCCGATATATTTGTACACGCACCAGACGGAAAAACAAAAAATATCGCGTATCCACGAACACTCCGATAAATAAATAGAATTGAAAGGACACTTTGAAATGTTTTTTCCCCGTGAAAATGAATAATAATAATAAGTTTCGATAAAAATGATAAAATGTAAATTGAATTTTATCGTAACGAGTTTGGTCGAATTTCCTTTCTTCTGAGATGGCAGCAATGCGCGACGGGTAAGCTAATAATTACGTAAATAAATGTTTAATTTTCACACGTAGATTATACAGTATTACATCAAAGCCTTCCATAGTTTTCGAGGGTGTCTCGGTCACTTCTACGATTATAATTTATGGAATTTTTAAGTGCCCCTCTGCGGACGCCCGTGTACTGGGGCATACGGACTTCCCGGACGTAATCTAATCTTTGAGACATTCGACTGAAAACATTGAATATTTTTCTTGTCAAGTCACGCGAAGAATTCGTAAGAAGAATGAACGGAGTGAAAAGAAACGCTAACAAAAGTGTCGGACCCGCTTATAATTACCTGAATTTGTCGAATGTAATTCTACCGGATGAGGTCGATTGGAGAGAAGAAGGACTCGTTACCGAAGTTAAAAATCAAGTAAGAAAGACGAAATTATTCATTGATTTGATTAAAATTTATTAAGTATTTTTATAAAATTCCATTTATATCAGAAACAATGTGGTTCCTGCTGGGCTTTCTCAACCACGGGCGCTCTGGAAGGACAACATAAAAAGAAGACCGGCCGACTGGTTTCTCTAAGTGAACAAAATTTGATAGACTGTACTTTGAACGAAGGTAACAAATTTTATTATTTAAATTTAAATTAACTTTATTCATATAGAAGCAAATTATCGTCAAAGCTTTCTGCTATTTAAATTAATTAACTCTCAGGCAATTACGGATGCTCCGGTGGTTTCTATGATCACGCATTTGAGTATGTGAAAAATAATGGAGGCATTGACACCGAACGTTCTTATCCGTATGAAGCAAAAGTAAGATTTAATATAATTTGAGAAATTAATTACAGTAAAGCGTATTTAAAACTTATATTTCATTATTTAATATAGGAAGATAAATGCAGATTTAAACGCCAAAATATTGGTGCCACGTGTATGGGTTTTGTCAGTCTTCCGCCAGGCGATGAAGAAATTTTGAAACAAGCGGTAGCAACTATTGGTCCAATCTCGGTCGGAATCGATGGCAGTACGTGGAGTTTCCAATTATACAAGTAATTATATATATATTTATTTATCATATTCTCTATCTATCTTATGATTATTTCTATACACTCATTAACAAAAAACTTACGCACCGAAGAGACGTTGGTATCGAATAAAACATTTTATTGTAATTACGAATCTATGTGGTCATTACGTCTACATTAATATCATAGCGAAGGCACAATAATTCTGCCAACAACGGTAGCCTATAACTTTTAGGAACCTTTAGTGCCTTGTAGGACTTCTTTATGCCTGCAGTAATACAGCCGGGCGTGGAGGCATATAGGCATCGTATGCTATTCTGAGACAGATTTTTCCCATATATATTGCAACTGCCGCTCCATATCCCTCGCATTCGCACATGGTCGAAGCTGGCAGATTTGTCTTCGAAGAGCTCTCACCAGTGGACCTGTCTCCACACTAACACAGTTGTCGTCAGTTTCCAAACAGAACGCGGACTTTTGCAATTTTGCACGTACCCCAACTGCGCCTCTAGCGTACGTCTGTTAGTCGCCTGCCAATGGGTTCGGTAGTGAGGCTTTCACTCGTCTATGGATGGTACACAAATACGCCTTTGCAGTTATTCGCATTTGTATCACGATCCGAGTATCTCCTGGGCGTCCAGACCCCGTTTGGCATGTATGGGTTCTCTCGAGTATCCACCATTTTCAATATAGTCTCGGTCAGATCAGCACGGCCCAGATGGCAGACAATTCGGTGAAACTGCCCGATGATGAGGCCTTTGTCAGTCAGCTGTTCGTAATACCTTGGTGTCATAGAGGACTGTCTAACATTCGGAAACCTCCGAACAGGTACACCAAATTTGAAGGCAGTGAGCCTTTTTATAGAATATTGCAATAGCAATTCTGAAACACCTTGGATGCATTACTGGCGTGCGATCGAACTACAATTGTAATCATTTACATACCTGTCTGACATATCTGTATGCCAACTTTTGCAGTAATCGGACAATTCTAACCGAATACCTAACGTTTTTGTCAATAAGTGTTAGTTATATTTAATTACTTATGGAGAAGTTTCCTACGAGCTTTATTTTAGATGCCTCCACTGTTTAAACTGAACAATGGGAACGATGATTTATTATTTATTAGGATAAATATATTAATATTAATAGAGAGATTTCTGTTTGTTATTATAAATAGGGAAGGAATCTACGACGATGACAATTGCAGCAATGAACACATAGATCATGCAGTTTTAGTGGTCGGATACGGAACTGAAAACGGCAAGGATTATTGGCTGGTTAAAAACAGGTCTGTGACTTTGTGTTAATAATTAGTTTTAGAAACAATAGCAATATACCTGTTTTTAATATAACTTTTTTAAATTTCAGTTGGGGAACCAGTTGGGGTATGCAAGGTTATGTTAAAATGGCCAGAAATAAAAACCAATGCGGTATTGCCACTCATTCTAGTTATCCACTAGTATAAGTATGTAAATATTCATCTTGGACTTTAGTTCTGTTTACTATGGCAATTTCCAATTCGTGGATTACGTTATCTAGTTCATTAATAAATCATTTTTTAAAAATATCATTGAATTGTTAATTTATATATATATAAAACTTGGTTCAAATATCTCAAATTCCATCATAATATATGTAACTTTTAGGGATTTATTTAAAAATAAACACGATAAAACACATTAAGTTTCTTGCAAATATAAATTGAAGTAATAAATAGTGAAAACAAAGATCATTTGAGTTCTTAACGAAATAAAACAGTAACTTGGCCAACTCTATTTTGCCCATCATTTCAAAAATTGATTTGATTTATTCCAAATTGAAAAAGGGAAACAATGAATTTAAATAATTCTCTAATTGCTAAGAATTGAAAATATATCTTTTACGTACGATTATTCTACCTTTTAAATAGTTTTATGTACAGAAGTAATTTCGCTTCGGCATTTCTATGATTATTTATCACATGAAAACGTGTCTTTGGTTAGATATTATCTTATATTCTTGATATACACATTTTTGCTGATTTTTTTATCGTAAGACGGAACAAAAGGGCAACTTATTTCACTTATTCATATCTGACGTCATTCGATATCGAAAAGCGTCCAATTTTACACGAACTTAAAACTCAAGCGCTAGTGTTGTTTCTTTCCGAAAATATTGTCCAGGGTTTATTTTCCTGACAAATGCGGTGGGTCTTGGTTCCAAACAAGTGCCACAATATTCCTTTCTCGATGCGACAGCGCCCGAAAAACCAAGCGACGATGACACGAAGCAGTTTTTCCTGTATCAATTTCAATTGTCTAAAAATGCACTTCTTTCCAGCAAAATACACACCAAACACTGTATAGACAATTTCCGTGTGACGTATTGGAGGCCCAGATGTACGTGTTGCGCGTGTCCGTTTTTTCCGGCGCCATATTTGTGACATTTCCGTTTCCTTTTAACCTCACCCGATACATGACAGAGTAAGTAAATATTAAATGGAAGAAAGCGTAAACTTTGATTACAAAAAGATTACCGCACTGCACTTAGAAGCGACGCTATGCAATGGTCAATAAAACAATGGTAAAACGTACGTTCTTAGTCAATACAACGATACAACGACCAAGTGTTTATAGTTTTAAATGTACTTAAATTTCTTTTGTTAGGAAAATATATGTTCAGAAGAACTCTTTACCAAAATCTCTGGATCAACCCAGCCACTCGCTACAAAATTGAATTTTAAGCGATTTATACACTTTTGTGTATTTGAGTTAAAAATTAGAATATGGTGACACCTTTTTTTTAACACTTTCCGCCCTGTGGGCCTCTTTTTGCAAGCCCATTATGGGTTCGGCCAGGCCCACAACGAGGCTGCCGGGTGGTGAGGGATGGGACCCGACATATCCGAACGGACCACCTCCCGAAAAATTCCTGGGGATTTTTCGACCCGTTCGGATTCTAGCCCGGGTCCCCCAGAGCGGTGGGCTGTCGCCTCGACCGCTCGGCCATCCGGTCGCATGGTGACACCTTGTCTTAATAACCTATCTTCGTCCGCCAACTACGATCCTCTAAGAATGAATTCGCGCGTCATCTTCGTACGGATCAACTCCACTAAACATTAATTGAAATTTTACTTTTGTTCCAGTCGGCGTCTTGACTAGTAATTGTTAAATAACCTAGTAAAAAACGGATACCTCCGGCCACTCCGTTCGTGCATTTATCGGTTAATTCTTGCCAAGTCAATGTTGCCTATGGCTTCCGTCGTGTTATATTTTTCCAAAATTGCATCCAACAAACAGATTTAGGACAAGTACAGTACAGCGCTAAGACGAATTGCCACCTTTTGTTGATTGGTTTTTGTCCGGGAATAATCGTATTATATACGAATCAATGAAATGCCGCGATAACTTGAATGGGCGTAAATTTTGAGCGTTTTTTAGGCTTCGAGCAGACCGCGTTATATCGAATCGGCGTTAATCGAGGAAGCGCTAAACGCGGTCTTACTGTACAGTATATACGCATTGAGCGAAGCGATGATGATTTGAACGCGTTAGATGACGTTCGCGCAAGTTCTCTATAGCCTACATGTTTATATTGGTTTGTCAGCGGCGGATTAAGCGGTAACCGGACTAAACGGCCGCGTAGGGCCCAGAGATCTTGAAAATGCTATTGAAAAAAAAGGATTGACAAAACGCAGATATAGTCCAGAAAGACGCTTCGATGTAGACGTCCAAGTAATAAATGATATAGCTTTATAACATTAACAATATTAGCAGATGCTATTATTGACTATATTCTTAAAAACAAACCAAAAAATATAGAGAATTTGAAATCAGTGTATAAAGACAGAGATTAAATGTATTACAGGGGACTTTCTTATTATCCTTTTTACAGAAAGAAATCAAATAAAATTATGGAAAAGAGAAATTTGCTTGTTTCTGAAAATATCGGCTACGTTGCACTCTCTTTTCAACATCAAAGTCTAAATTAATAACTGGTTTGCAAAATTGTAGATTAATTACTGTTATTTTATCGGATCACGAAGTTTCAAAAGAACACATATCAGCCAAGTGTACTATGTATAAAAGTTCAAGAAAATTCAATACAACTGATACTCAATTACCACCGAAAAAGAAGAATGTTACTGGAGAAATGTGTTGAAAAAAATCGTATCGACAATAAAATCATCGAGTCGCTTAGGATTAGGATTTAGGGATCGCAATGAAGGCAAGGATTCCAATAGGAAAGGAAATTATTTAACCCGCTTGGAATACCTAGGCGAATACGATGAATTCTTGAAGTTACGTCTACAAAAATATGCCAAGGACGAGATTTATCTCATAATATTTGTGACGAATTTGTACGTCTTATTGGTAATCGAGTAAAAGCGACTTGAAGTAAATTGAAGAAATCAAATCTGCGACTTATTATGGCATAATTGTTGACTGCCCTGCTTGGGGCCCCACTCGACTCGATCCGCCGCTGTGGTTTATTTACGGAAACGCGGTCAGCCCGACGTGTCGCGTTGCCAGTTTCTCAAAGCCGTGGTCACACCGTGAGATTTCTAGCCGCGCGGGTCACCGCAACTGCAACGAGCGCGATTCACACATTGTTTGCTGGCGTTGCAACTCAAACACGTGACCCTATAATAATCCAATAAAATCACAGCAGCTTGTTTTTGACTACTTTCGTGAGTTTACGGACATTTTACGTTCTACTTCGGCGTATTTGCGGAACTTTAGCCACTTTCTTCGTGATTAAAGTAGCAACCAGTTTCTTTTCTGCAATGAATAAAATAAAAAGAAGCGATTACAGTAGAGCATCGATTATCCGACTCCGATCAACCGTCACATCGGTTAACCGACCGCGTTTTAGTCGGCAAATTCAAATGTCCGCTAGTGATGTGACGCTACAACATTTGGCTATGTCTTGGCTACTTTAATAGTATTTTTGTTAAATTTTGCGTGTTTTAGCTGGGAACACTGTCTCGACCATGAAAGGGAGGCCAGTATTTAAACGAGGCTTAATTTTCTAATTTTTAACGATTCAATAGCGACGATTATTATTAAAAAATTTTTGTTAGGCTTAATATCGATGAAAATTCAACGCAAAGTAGGTTAATAGCGATATACTAATATACTATACTAATAATGTATTTTTTCATACTTTTCGGTTATCCGACTAACCCCAGTCCCCAACTGAGTCGGATAATCGATGCTCTACTGTATTTTGTTAGAGCCGGCGAGAATACACGGAGAGAGAAAATCTTGGATAAAACGAAAAATTAAAATCCTGCAGGTATTGGTGAGACGGAATAAGTTTCTGTAAAAGTATCAATCCTCCTACTTTCCACCATGATGAACTATTTTCAACGTTGCCACCGTATGACGCGTTTGCAATCTGCACGAGTAGAACAAACTTTGTTTCCAGTCGCCGGTCTACGAAGAGGGTTTACTAGTTAACGAGAACAGCCGTCGCGACTGGAAAACGCACGGTGCGACCACGGCTACAGTGTTACAAACGTGAATAACTCAAAGCTTCATGTGGCCAGTCAATTCGGCAGGCGCGAACCCACGTCCAGTGAAGTGGTTTTATTCACCCGACCACTGGTAGACTGTATATTTACAATAATCATTTTGCAAAACTGATTACGAGGTTAATTTTTAGATCTATCGCATTCCCTCTTAACGAAACCCTGCTAGGGTCATTCTTTCTAGGATTTGCACTTTTTTTACATCTTATACTACTATATTCACGGTTGATAGTGTTAATTCAAAAGAGAAAATCTACAGAATATTCTGTAGATATTCTCTTTTGAATTAACAGAATATTCTGCCGGTATCAATTTCAAATTGAAAATGCAATGGAAAGTTGCTTGCTAATTTAGGGTAAATTAAATGACTAATCGAAACCTATAATGACAAGTTTTGTTAGTTCTGATTAGTTTTATATTTTCGTCGCAGTTTAACCGGCATGCGGGTAACCCCGGGGTTTGCGGCAAACTGGTCCCCCGGTTTCTATGCGGCATGCCGGTCATTCCGCGAAAATACGGTATAAACGTAAAAACTTACTCAAAATATAATTTAAAGTTAGAAAAATAAGCTATTTAATGTAAATTCCTAGTACTAAATAAAATATCTATTAGGCCTACTTTTTCAAAAATTGTGTGTTGTTTCGAATACAGTATTAAATTTACAGTTCATAAAAAACTTTGAAATTGAGTTTATTTTTCAAAAACCAGTCTCGATAAAATATAACAAAAAAGAAATAGTTCAGAATAAATACTAAATGTACAAATACAATTCGAATTCATTCAACAGAATTTAAATATTACAAAATAAATGTGTCTTGGCTTGTGCATTTACACTCAAATTATACAATATTTAGAAATATTGTAAATCACTTCCCTTTACAAAAACAAACTAAAAATAAATAACTCAACTTCTAATCCAAAAGTTGCAAACGTGAAAATATTTAACAGCGTGAATAAAATTTTTTTTATTAAATTTAAAATGACAAAAATGCGCCTTAGCAATTGATTAAGAATTAATGATGATATAATTGACACTTAATTGTAGAGAGAATTTCAACGTGCTTAATATTTATATCAAACTTTATTGCTCAAATCAATTAAGGGATCAGATTTTGTAAAAGAAAAATTGCTAGTCGACAAATCTGACCGGAATGTTTTGGAATGTACTAAATATCAAACTGAATAATATTCAATTTTTCTATGGTTTTATCAGACCATACTGTATAGTTTATTAATAAACAAGGTGAATAGTTGCTTAAATTCTTTTTTCATTTACATAAAATTTGCTGACAAACTCATTAATTTTACTGAAGAATTAACCTATTAAAATATCCCCTAACTGTTTTGAGTACGTTTATGGGCAATGTAATCGATTCAGAAATTACATTAATCAGACTAGTTTCTCAAATAATAATTTAACATATTTTAATTTACAAATAAATCCAGCAAGATTTTAGTTACATCACAAATACCAGTGGTTATGGTTATAAATGCGCAATATTTTCATCAATTGTCAAAATGCATTTTTTTTCATACATTGAGATTCAATTCTAACATTCAAATTTTATTTGGCATCAAACATTTTACTGAGCATTTAATACTGTTTTGCTTTAATGTACATTTGCAAAGCATATAGTAAAACTAATGAATGCTGTATAAAATACTAAACCACATATTTTCATAATGAATTCTAATTCAACAATATTTTACACAAACCAAAGAAATTAAATTTTCTTTCTATATCAAAAATGATTTCTAAATTTAATAGTAAAAGTATACAAAAATATGTGCATGCAATTACTTATAAAAATGTCATACAATGTAAAGCTAGGTTCACATTGGCATACAAACCACCATGAAGTAGATAAGAACTGCAAGTTCATCCCCTTTCATTATGTGTTTGATTCAGTTAATTAGGAATTGAGAAAATCTGTCAATTTTTGCCAAATTTCGGCTTGTTTGACCAATCAACTCTTCACAACTAATGTTTGAAACCTAGCTTAGTTGTCATATACAGTAGTATGATGTGAACAAATTTTGTTTCCTTCATTTGTAATGGTTCCTTTGATAGTGTAAACAAAGCTTTATACTGTAGTTCAGCATACAAATACAATACAAATTTTTATAAGAAATTCTGAAGAAAACATCTTTAGCATAGGATAAAGCATAATAGTTTTATTACAATTTATTTTCATCCAAACAAACAATTCACACTCAATGAAAATTATAATACATTATTTACATACTATACTCACTTGAATACATTCAAGAAGCACTCTCGTTTAGAAAAGTAAACAACAATGTCCGATACTTTAAATTCAAATATCACAGTTTACCATTTAATATACCAGTTTAATTATGAAAGTGAATTTCTAATATGAAAAATTTTCTAAATATGATTTTTAAAAAATTCAAATGATGCATGAAAATATATAAGCTTATCAACCTACTCCAATGTTGGCCTAACTTGCCCCAAATGTTTGTAAACAATATATTCAAGGCAAATTATTCTTATATCATTAGTCTTGACTTTTATAATGTACTTTAACATACATCATTGGCAAGAGAATTTTATGCATTTTATTCATTGAACAGCTTAACACAGGAATCAAAGTATTCAAGTAAATATAGTGAAAAATGAAAAAATAATATAAGTAAACAAATTCAACAACAATTCAAAATAGTCAAAATCATATTAAAACATGAAACTTAAATAGTGTACAGTAATACCTAAAGCTAACACTTAAAATATTTATTAGGAAATAAAATCTGCATTTGACAAAATTTTAATTTACTTTCTATAACAATTACATAATTATATGTAGTTATATATACAGAGATCTATAAAGATTGTATGCACTTTTAATTAATTATTAATAGTTTTGGAATACATGGTAAAATTAATCTGTAAAAATCATTTATAATCCTGAAGTGTCTGGTTTTTTTCTCATTACTTCAAAAATTATTATTCATTTTACTCATTATTGTTGTTATTTTAAAACTTCAAAAATGACTGTTTTCTTTTAATAATTATTATTGGCCCATCACTTCTCTAGAAGAAAAAGTCAATAATTCTGTAAAGAAAGCAGCCATTCTCAAGTTTTTAAAAAATACATAAATAATGAGTAAGAGTAATAATAATAATAATAATAAACTTTTGAAATATTGAGGAAACAATCTACACACATCAGGTTATAATGTTTTTTTCCACAGATTAATTCTACCATGTTTAGTTCCAAAACTCTTAATATAAAAAGTGCACATGAATTATAAAATCCATGTTTTAAATATATAACTTAAAAAATTGTGCAGTTTTATTATTATTTTTTTATTGTTTTATATAGAATTTATCATAATAATCAATCTAATCATAGCAAGAATAGTATAATAAGATAAAATAATTTGTCTAGTTTTTATTTTTCTATCAATCTTTCTATAGTAACTAGTCTCAAGTTTTTCACATTTCATTTTTTATAGCCATAGTTTTAACATTTATTAGAAGGCTTTACTTGAAAAATATAATCTGTCAGAAAAATACAATTAACAGAACAGGATTTACAGAAGTTAGCCTATGTGAAAAACTATAATGGACGTCAATTATTTTATCTAGTAATTAGTCCGACGATTTCAAAAAACAAGAATGAGTAATATAAAAACAGTGATGTAATAAGTGTAATTACTAGAAATATCACTTAAATGTCATCATTTAAAAAATAAAACTGTAAGACTTCTGCAATAAATATCAAAAGACTGTCTTCATTTACTTAAATTCAATTGCTTATTTAACAAATGAATATAAAGTACTCACTAAATATAACCTCAGTTTTCTTCAGATTTGTTCCTATTGCTTCAAACTTACTTTAAAAATAAAATTTTATAAATCAATAAATATCTGATTTGTTTTAAATTTTCATATACAGTTGAAGCAATTTATTGAATTTATTTTTTGTTAATATTGTTTCTGACAAGTTACTATATTTCTTAACTATAAGACACTTTTCTGCTGTTATTTCTTCTGAAATATTGAAACATTTGGTGTCATCTTACAAGCAATGTTGAACAAATAACATTATTCTATAAATTTATCAGTTTCTTAGTTTTAAGGTCACATGAAAAAAATTTGACAACCATTACAATATATATATATATATATATATTTTTTTGGAGAAAAACATGATTAGAAGAGCATACTTCAAAATTTAGTATTTGTTGTCATAAATTGTAATTCATTCAATGATTTTCACCTAATTTGTTAAATAATTATTTATCTGCTAAGCATTGCTTTAAAAGTAGAAAATGCTTTGTTGTAATTTTAATTTCTGTTTATAAGTTTTATAAGCAGAAATTTTTATAGTTTGTTTATTGCAAAAAAAGTTAACTTCACAAATTCTTCACATAGGCAAACTTAATAATAATTACCATAATTAGTTTGCATTAAGTTCAAAACGGCTACTTAAATAGGCCATATTAATCTATAGGAACTTTTGTCTTTATAATGGAATAATTATATTTGAGGGTTGCATATGCACTTATCTGATTAACTAAATTAAGGGAATTTTTTATAATCAAAGTCTAATTATTCAACTACAGTTTGTTAAAAAATAATGTTCACTAAATGTTATTTTTATATTAAAATTCATACATTAAACACATAATGTGACATAAAAATTGCATTACCTCATCTTTATTTTGTTAAAAACTTGCAGCACTTAAGTGTAAATAAAAATTCTCACTTATCGTAGGAAATTCCCTTAATTGCATTGTATACTTTAGTCATTTTAATTGTGATTTTTATTAAATAGAAGATTATATTTATCTTATAAAAAGAAATTAATTGAAGAAAAAATATAAATTGAATTAAGCTTTTTAAAATTAGAAAATTATTACAGCAGATTTTTCTAATGTTAAATTGAAATCAAGAATTTCCAATTTATACTTAAAACCTATTCTAGTATTTCCAAATTAATTTCCAATATTTATATATAATTATATATTTTAAACATTTACTTCATGTTAGTCATTTTAAGAACATTATTTAAAAATAAAAGTTCTATCTCAAATTTTAATATTTTAACAGCTAAAATAATTAATATTTTGTTCAGCTAATACTATATTTTAAAATACTACAGTCTCATTTTCTTTAAATACATTTCCATTCCTTGTATTTAAGTGTTTGAGCCTTTTTCAAATTATGAAAATTTAAAAACAACAACTTTTTATTAAAATAGCATTGATAGTAGTTTACTGATATTAATCCATCATATGTGATACTTTAAATATATTAATTCAGCTGTCTTATAAACATTAAATTATTTACCAAAATTATTATTTCAAACAGGTATATTTTTAAGATATTTATTCTTTTAAAAACTAAATATTTAGAGAATTTTTTTAAACTTTAAGCTACATAAATTCTATTGCTTTTAGAAACAAAAATTAAGTACAGTAGAACCTCACTAATTTGGACTAATAGGGTTCCAACATTAGTTCAGCCTAGTGCAAATTAGCAAGGTTTTATTGTATTACCAAATTATCTTATCCAAAATTATTAATATATTATTAATATACAGTAAACACTTCAATTTATGATCTTAGTTTTTGAATTATTAATAAATCACTTAAAGCTGAATAAACACAAAATTGAGTTCATTTAAAATAATGAGCAATAATTTTAAAGGACGGATGGACTTGAATATCCTGTTTTTAAATACCAAATAGAGAATTATTATTTTACATCTTTTTAATTGTTGATATATTCGTATATGGAATCTAATATAAATTGCTCCGATATATAATAAAAATATACGCTATTAAAATAAATCAATGCATTTTTAACAAATCCAAATCTGGCAAGTTCCACAATTTAATTAAAATACAAAGTAAACTTCAGTATTGAAACTTTTTAAATATACTAAACTTTCAATAATGAAGTTTGAATATTTTAATCATCAGTTTAAAAAAATAAAGGAAAACACTTGTCAACTTTTAATACTGAGCTTATAATGAGCAACAAGATATTTTGATTTAAATGTAATAATCATTTAATGACTAGATACTAAATGATATGATGAGTCAATGAAAAATAAAAGTTTTATACAAGTTTAACAATTATAAAATGACACAAATCTGACTTTCTATAGATTTTTCGTCTGATTTCGTTACTTGATTTCCACGTTTATGAACAATAATGGCAGAATTTCCATAACAGCTATATGCATATGATTTTCTACTCTCACCATAACTAAGAAAGCTTAAGGGTCTTGGCTTGTTAAATCGTTCACGAAACAGAACCAAGGCAGTATCTTCATATCGCTGCTTAATTTCATATAAACTTTCGGCAATTGCTGGAGAACCTCTTGGTTTGTTCATGTCTATATAATAAAAGATATTAAAATTAATTTAAATGAAACTTTCATTCAATCCTATTATATAAAACAATTAAAATATTTATTACAGAAATTATTAAAGCAAGTAAGAAAAAGAATTACATAAGTCCATCCACATTCTGGGATCTAATTTATAGCTGTTTTTTGCTATTGTAGCAATTCAAAACCAACAAGCTAAAACAGGCATGGCCAACATATGGCCCGAAGGCCAGATCCGGCCCGTCTAATGAATTTATGTGGCCCGCGATTAAACTTTCAATATTAGCTACTCAAGTACAAATAGCTCGATGAAAAAGTCTAATGCCTTAAAAAAAAACTCCTCACTGTGCATTTAGAATTAACCCTCTATTACAAGTACAGTGTTGTAAAATGATAAAGCATGATAATGTGAAAAAATGTATGTCTAATCTCTATGTACAATTTAGTCTTTATGGGGTGACACCACAATGAGATCTCGCACCATCTCAAAATCTTCCTAGGGCACCTCTGGTTCGGCCCGTGGAAAAAGTTCTCTCCAATTCGACCCGGGGGCAAAAACTGTTGGCCACCCGAGCTAGAATATACTACATAGTGACTGTGACCTTAGATACAGCACTCTTGCTGGCAACAATGGATACTATCAACCCAGGGCTGTGAGGTAGATTTTCTCAGTATGATGCAAGTCTTCAAAATGCCACCCCTTAAATGCTGCTTATACCGCCTCCTTAAGTCCTGTCAGATTATGCGATTTCTTGCTGCACAGACAACTGCAACAAACGCGAGTTGTGCGTGTCTTCTCATGGTCACACATTGTTCATTGATGTTGCAACTCGGAAACACATGACCCTATAATAAACAAATAAAATTAGAGTAGCTTGTTTCTGACTACTTTCGTGAGTTTGACGACATTTTACGTTCTACTTCAGAGTATTTACAAAATTTTAGCCACTTTTTTTATTAAAATAGCAAGCAGTTCCTTTTCTGCAATGAATAAAAGAAAAAAAAGGCGATTATTTTGATAGAGCTGGCGAGAATACACAAAAAGATAAAATCTTCAATAAAACGAAGAATTATAATCCCACGGGTTTTCGTGAGCCTGAATAAGCTCGATCAATCTCAATTCTGTAAAAGTATTAATCCTCTATCTGCCATGATGATAAACTATTTTCAATGTTGTCACTGTTTGACGTGGCACAAAGGCATTTGTTGATTGGATGCACGTTTGCAATCGTCACAAGTAGAACAAACTTTTTGTTTCTAGTTGTGATTGCAGTCGCGCTGGTTTTCAAGGGGGGGATTACTAGTTAATGGAAATAACCATTGCGGTTGCAGTCGCCTGCTTGGCTGGAAATCGCATAGTGTGACCAGGGCTTTATGGTGCCACCTGATGTAGCCATCTCTCTGTATCATAGCATGGTACAGCCCTGTATCAACCACACATTTTACTTTAAGTCAAAACATTGAAATCTATACCATGTGTTGGGCAGGATTCTCACTTTAGAATCTATTTTTCTCACCTAAATCTAGATTGTTTTGTTTTCCCTATATTTAAAATTAGGCAATTAGATAAGTGATCTAAATCTAGATTGTTTCATCTTGAATTTAGCTATTGTATCTAAATATGATTCAGATCTTGTAGGACTTTACTCTCAGACATAATTAGTTTATTAGTTTAGTGTACTCAGGTCAGTCTGATCCATACCAAACTCAGTATGTTGTTGATTTTTTGGACAATATTTTTTATTTTGCAGAATGTAAGTAGTATTCTCATGTTTTTATTACAGTTATACAGTAGAGCATCGATTATCCGATCCACGATTAACCGTCACCTCAGTTAACCGACTGCGTTCTAATCGGCAAATTCAAATGTCCGCTAGTGATGTGGCGCTACAATGTGGCTATGTCTTGGCTACTTTATTATTATTTTTGTTAAATTTTTGCGTGTTTTAGCTGGCAACACTGGCTCGACCATGAAAGGGAAACCAGTATTTAAACAAGGCTTAATTTTTTAATTATGAGTGGTTGTTTGTTTTGTGAGCAATAAAATAATTTTTAAGGATACAATAGCGACGATTATTATTTTTAAAAAATTTGTTAGGTTTAACATTGATGAAAATTCAACGCGAAGTAGGTTAATAGCGATATACTAATATACTAACTACATGGGATATAATAATATACTACACTAATAATGGTTTTTTTCATACTTTTCGGTTATCCGACTTTTCAATTATCTGACCAATCCCAGTCCCCAATTGAGTCAGATAATCGATGCTCTAATGTAGTTTATTTGTGAAAATTTTGGTTTCAACTTGTGAAAATATTTACAATGAAAAACTACAGTTTGACCTTTGTCACATTATGAACCACATTGTTGAAGTTAAATCCTTCTAAGAGTTAATAAGGAGCTAATAGTTGTAGGAAATGGAAGTGTTGCATTTTCCCATCAAAAATAGACAAAGAAAACATGCCAGTAAGTGTAAGAGACTGATATATAGAAACTGTACTATTAGGATGTGTACAAATTATGCACTATATGCATCATTCTGGATAACAAAAGTATAAGAAACAAAAGGTTAGTTTATGTTAATATGTTGTAGACAACAACCTTAGATACTGAAGACATGAGCCTGAAAAGAGATTGAAAAATTACCAATCCAAAATGCATTGTTAAATAGGCAAAAGAAAGTGAATTGTTTTAATCTTGGTCTCTGTTAATTGCAGATAATTAAATTAGTAAAGATGTGATAAATACCACTAGTCTTACTATTGGAAGAAGAACCTTTACTTATAAATTTTTATATTTTTAATTACTATCGAATGTTAAAAACCTTAATTTTGAGGGTAGTGATGAGTTTTATAAAAAAATTGTAAATGTTAGTAATGAATAACATCTTCATTAAGTCCGATCTCTCTCGAGATAGAGAAGTTTCATGTGTCATATCTCTCCACCCTTTAACCTTTAATCACTAAAATTTAATAGCATCAATGCTACTCATACACAAGCTATCATGCCAAATTTCGTTTCTTATAAACATACACACACACACCAACTCACAGAATATTTTTCCATTTTTTTGGGGGTTTTTTGGGTTCAGGTGGTCTCAAAACATAGCAATTTGCAAAAGACTGACGGTCAAATTTGAAACTATTCCAATGCTTTCCCTTGTTATTATACATAACAACCAGGAAAGTAAAATTAAGAATGTTTAGAAATGCATTTAACTTATTGCTACAGAATATTTTGTCTTGTTTAGAAACATTAAGGATTAAAGAAAGAAATGTCTTGTTATTTACTTTTAAAATTAAAAAAAAACTAAGTAGGGTCATTTTGACTCACACCATCTCAGATAAGGGTTAAAACTCTTCCTTTCCTTTGCCCACTTTTACACAAGTTAGAATATTCTAGCTCAGTGTTTTTCAACCTGTGGGTCGCGACCCCCTTGGGGGTCACGGGTAAAAGAAAAAGACAAGTGTTTGTAGGTCTTACACTACATTAAAAAAAAACTACAATTTCAGCGAGAATTACGGCCCACCCCAGAAAATGATAGCGGAAAAAGTGTTGAGCTGATCTGCAAAAAGAAATAAAAAGTAGAAACGTAGAAGCTGAAAATTCTGATCCTAAACAAAAAAAAAAGGTCAACATCTTCCTGTACCGAATGTTATAATTAAAGGAAGTTTCATACTTTGTGTGTGTTAAGTTATTGTCGATTCTTCTGAAATTTTTACTTTAATCAACAATAATTTGTCTCAACAGAGAGAAAATTAAATACATAGATTTTAAAATCACTGATATAGTTTTAATATGGCCCTAGGGGGGTCACCAGAATTTTTTAACTTGTAAAGGGGTCGCGTATTAAAGAAGGTTGAAAAACACTGTTCTAGCTCATTGCCTTTACACAACACAAATGGTACTGTACATCCCCTTGACCAAAAGAAAAATGACAGACATATATTCAATTTTCTTTAAACACTGCATAGCTACAGCCAGTATGTAATATATTCTAGCTCGTCGTTCAGAACACAAAAATTATGCATCTCATTTGGTTTATTTGTTTATAGCAATGCAACACACAGGCAATCTGCCTAGGGGTAGGCATCCTGAGAGGCCTCTTATGGGAAACTGGCCCCTATTTAGGTGTTACTAATGTAAAGGAAACCCAGAAAACTTCATATGGCCAGCCCATCGGCCAGGTGCAAACCTATAACTATCGGTGTTCAGTGGTATTATCCACTCAGCCACTTATGGATTATTATGCATCTCAAAATTTTCCCCAGAAAAGTTTGTGGAATAATTCAAAACCTTTAGAATTTTAAGTAGAAAAAAATTGCACGTTAAAATCTTACCCAACCTTATGTGATAAAATAAAGTCTTCATTGATAGTCAAAAAACATATCATAAAACATGTTTGTTTTATGGGAATTTTTTTAAGGATCAATTTGTGAGTGCTTTGGATAAAAACAGACTGTTTCAAGTGCCATTAAAGTTTTCTAAGCTTTCAAAAGCAAAGTTGAAAGAAAATACATACATTAGTTGATTAAAAATATATATATAAATAAATTACTAACAGATGAAAGTTTTCAAGTCAATGGCAGTCAAAAAAAACCTTCAGAAACGCATCAAATTTTCTTGAAGAAACAGGATCCTTGTTTAATTAATTAAAAATTATTATACACTGCACACTAAAAAATTCCAGAATTTAGCATGAAGACTAGTCAAAGTCATCATTTTTTACATTCCATTTACAATACTTTCTTGATAACTTAAGTGCAATGAGTTAAGAGCAAAATGAAAGATTTTATCAAAGTACAAAAGAAATGAAACAAGGATACAAAGGATACTGAAATGTGAATATGATGACTAACTATTGTTGACATATTAAAGAAAGAATAGATACCTAAAATGAAAATGTACAAAGTAATCTTTCAAACAATAGAGAGCAATATTTATCAAGAAAGATTGGCAATGTTAATATTAAAATTTAAATGTAGTTATCTTGTATTTT